TCCACTAATGCCATCCCTAATCTCTGCTCTTCTCTTGCATTGATATATTACAACTGTGACTTTTAGTCCTTTTTGTACAATTCTAAGGTTTGTTAAGTATGCTGGGAAATTACTTTTGGTCTTTATTTTGTGGAGCTGTTTGGACTGTTTATTTAGCACCCTCCTGTTTTTATGGGAGACAAACATGAAGCGGTTCCCTCCAGTCTCCTGGTCCTACACTGACTCACACCTAAATGTGAAGCTGCCCACACACCATGCAGGTTTGCAGCACTGGTTCTGAACTGCCTTTGAAAATGATGCACTGTCCACTCTACAGGAACTGGTAAAATTACCTTGGTCACATTGCCACTTTCTCTTGTGAAAATACTCTTTTTTATTTATTTTATTTCCTCTCTTAAATGGATTTTTTTCAAGTTCCAGTAAAATCTTGATTGACTACATCTTCATCAGTGTAGACAATGGAATGATTTAGCATCCTACAACAGATTTGTGTGAGTCTTTGCAGTCAAGAACATTAGTACACTAGTGAAAATTGTTTAATTGGTAATTACTCCTACAGAATCAGTTCTAAGAGCACGAAACACAGCATGCTGGTTACTTTTTCTCCTACTGTTGAAAGAGGTCATGACTCTTTAACCTGCTGTGATGACAAAAGTGGTCTAATAATGAAGTCAGGATGATTGTGGTGATTGAAAGGAGCACAGTTGAAAGAAATTTCAAGAAATGCCGGGAACTTTTTAAACTGATAGAGAAGATTTTATTCCCCAGCTCTTGAGCATACAACTACACTCGAGGGAGTATGCCTTGAGTGATTTTCTTCTTACTTAGTTTTGGCTATTTGACATGGTAGAGAAGGCACTGAGTGGCTGGCAGCACACTAATTCAGTCTTCGATAGTGTATACATCACCGACTCTGAGGTATTATATTGGTATTGTCCCTTGGCACTGTCTATTGCCTGTGCTCTGGCTGAGCTTTTCACACAATCAGCATGGTGACTTTGCATCATCCACCATATATTGTGTAGACGTAATCTATTTCTTATAGAAAATCTTATTTCTTATAGAAATTCTATCTATATATCTATCTATAGATATAGGTTTAGATGAATTGATGTCAGACTACTGTCTTTCCATTACATGCAGCTTTACCTGAGTAATTCAGTGTTCCTTATTTATTGTAGATGCAGAAAACTTCCTCACTGAAATGCAAAACCTGTTTGAGGCAGATTTAATTACCTGTAGGTGTTAAATGGCACCTCACCCAAGTGAGGATGTAAGGCAACAGGCATCTTTTGACCTGCTTATGAACATTGGCAACCTGACATATGTTGGGTGAATTAGGTCCCATGGAACCTAATTCCATGTGGGACCCAGGACACTCCTCAGATCTAGGGCTGAATGGTGCTCCACGGACAGGGTCTGTGTCAAGTTTGAATCTGCTACTCTCAAAATAACCTTAAAGTTAAGTTGGGCCAGTAGAACTGACTAGTCTCATTTTCCTGGCTGTAAGTAATTTCATCAAATTTCTATGCAACTATCTTCTTACAAGGTCTTTACCATGCATTAGCACTTAAATTACTCAAATTAAATCCCTCAAAATAATATTGATCTTCTATGATTGTTGATTTTTTCCAGTTAATCTAGGTGATGATAAGGAGTCCCTTATAACTGAACAAGCTATTACCTTTTTTAAAAAGATGTGTTAAATTCTTGTTCTTACCCTGTTAACTTTCACCTCTTTGTTTGTTTATAACACAGTCACCCATGTAATTAGAATATGTAACATTCTCTCCTAGATCTGTATCCGCAAAGCAGAGCTTCTTAAGCTGTTTTTCTTCACAATTGCTGCAGAATAATACCTATGAAAATGCTTTTAGTGCTAAAAGAGCTAGTTCACATTTCATGTTGGGAACTTTGCTTCCTGCTGAAGTACATTAAGTAAGAAAAATTTCAGCACGTGCTTCATTATAATCATTGCACAGTTGTAATATTTTGAGTTTTGCTAAGCTCTGACTTGAAAAATTTAAAGCACATGGAAGAACCCAGACACAAAGGGCCAATTAATTCCTGGTGTATTCATATGCACTGAAAGGAGCTGCTGCAGGTGTGACGTTAGCCCCATAGGGATTTTGTATGTAAGAAAGCTGCAGGGATTTGAAAGCTTTATTTTTTCCCCCTTTCATTGGGATTTTCCTGCAAACATTGACAATATGTAGACCTAATTGCAAAACAAAGTATCCTGTTTTTATTTCCTGTGTTACATCAAGCTCAAAACTGCTTAAAGCCAAAGCCCAGTTTGTGACTCACAGTATGGGTACTGACCAAAAAAAGTTCTAAACAGAAAGACTCTGTCTGTTAAAACAGAGAAGTAAATAAAATTGTATAGCTTATATGTATAGACATCTAGATAAGGGTATAAAGTAGGCTGGCATATAGCAGAACAAAGGCAGACTTTTTACTTCCTGAAATTCAAAGAACACAGAGTAAACTGTACGTCTATTAAATGAGTATTTAAGAATTAACTTATTTTTGCTTCATTTTTATGATTACCTGAAGAGATCTTCCCCTTATTCAGTAAGACTGTTCTTTTTTTCAAGACTGAGTTTCTACCATAGTATTACACTCTTTAGCAGATTACTTTTGGGTGGGTTTTTTGTCATTGTTTTGCTTCTTGAAGTGCAGTGGTTGATTGGGTGTGCATTAGAGATGGAGGCTGGGGTGTGGAAAGGAGCCGGTGTAGGAATGTAATATCACATGGTTAAAGCCATGGTTTCATTAGAAATGAATCTTTCTGAGTAAACAGTAAACAGAGGGAAAAAATCCACAGAAATTCTCATCCAAAAAGCCTCCCCTAGATTATCATCTCAAAATAAGAAAAATTGGGAATGAAGCTGAAAGAATATTAGGTATATGCTTTACTGGATCAAAGAAAAATTATTTGGTCTTGCATTATATCTTAATTATCCCAAACAGTGAAATGTGCAGATACTTAGTATACATAAAAGGAAAATAATCAATGATTGGTTACTTTTTGACTATGCTTTCTAATTTGTTTTTGGAGATAGTGTTCAGTTATTTATTAACAATTTTGTAAGTATATGAAAAATTGTTTTACTTTCCTGTTTATTAATATTCTTATATTCCATATAGAGAGTGAAATCTGCATTAGAGAATTCCAGAAACTTTATGTCTGACTGGTTATTATTCTATGTCAACTACATTTTTAAATATAGTTAGGGGGCTGATAGTAGTCTCTGGAACTGTCCTCTTACAAAGATAATGTCTCTTTTTCATTTTTTTTTTTCTGGGAATCCTGCAATGAAGGAAAAAAAAATGTTTCCCAAGACTGTAAGAAGGCTTTAATCCCTTCTAATTTATACCTGGTGTGAGTCAATTCTCCCTATTGCAATTGCAAATGTTTCTGAGTTTTCCTGTGAGAAAGATCCTGTAAGAGATCTGATCATTTATAGGCAGCTTCTCCTCTGTCAATCAGTCTAAACCTCTAGAATTCCCATTTTTATTTTAATGGTGTATGATTATTAATTTCTTGTAGGGAGAACTATGGTAAAACCATGCTAAAATTTCTTTTGCCTCAAAAAGAAAAATATCAGAAGCCTGATTATTTCAGACAAGTAGCAGAGGAACAGCTAGACTCCCTAAAAAAACAACAGGCAATAAAATTCCTTCTCTACTTTTCTATTGTGTACACAGTAAGATATTGAAACATTGAAGTTTGATCATCTTACATCCTTAATGGAGGCTAGATTACATTGCCAAGTGAGAGAAAATCTTGAGACCATACTGTAAAGAATAAAGGGATTAAAGTATTTGGACAGCAGATATCTGATCTGTCTCTGATTCCCCACATTCCTGTACTGAGGCTGCTACCCCAAATAGTAGGGAGTGCACTGGGTCAGCTCCACTAACTGGGGAGAAGAGATTAGATTCATTTTGAGGAAGGGAGCGCTAATGTAGTTTAATGTATTATTTACATCGTCCCAGTTGTTTACACTCTAGTATTTTCATTTGTCGCCTTTTATCACGCATCTGCCTGCACCTTCACGCAATCCTCACAGTATGACAGCTCTTTGTTAAGCTTCACTTGATGCAAAAGTTACAGACTTCAGCTGCCTACCAGCAAGAGGGTGGGAGTGTAATTGGCACAGATTGCTTCATGATTGACTTCTTTGCAGGGACGAGCCTGACGATGCCTGCATTGTTTGATTTGAATTCTGAATTTTGAGAGAATAGAGTTGGCTTTCCTATACCATAGATGTACAAAGAAGGCAAAATTAAGGTTGTCTGAGTCATGTTGAACACTCTGTACATCTTCTTTTGTGTTTCAAGGTGTTGAGGTCAACCAGACAAGTACAGAGGGAATGTTTGTGCCCACTGATAGCCATTGATATTTTGTTATTGACTGTTTCGAGAATAGCATTTCAACCATGACCTTTAGATATATGAATTTTCAGTGAGAGTTAAGGAAAGGTCTATTTGTTTCCTTTGTGTAGCATCCATGTGTTTTTACTTTCACAAAGAAATTTACCCTGAAGTTAATATAGACTCCTGTCTATGGGATTACAAATTGGCTTGTAATAAAACAGAAGATTCAGACTTTGGTAAATTACCACACTTCTGCATTTCCTTTTTAGGAAGGAAATATATAGCAGTAATCCTATGTACCAGTAATATGCTATATCCCAGTAGTACACCAGTAATAACCTATATAATGTGTGTGTACACTTAGATATGAAGACATAAGCATAGCATAGGCTCTTAGTTCATTTTTTTTTTCATTTATCTATGTGCATAAGTACATTAAATGAATGAAAAGTAAAAGGGATTAATGCAAGTATATAGTGATAGTATTTTAAATACTACAGCTACATTTTTTTCTTTTCTGTCATTTATTAGAAAAAATAATTAAAGGAATCAAAGGGGTCTAGAATCAGAATTGTGTGCCTCAGATGGTTAGGGATAACATTGTATTGTTTTTTCAGATAAACCTGCAGAAGAAGATGCGAGTCACTGGAGTTATAACTCAAGGTGCCAAGAGGATTGGAAGTCCAGAATATGTAAAATCTTACAAAATTGCATACAGTAATGATGGGAAGTCATGGACAATGTATAAAGTAAAAGGCACAAATGAAGATATGGTAAGCTTAAGTCATCTGTATATGAGTATATCTAACGGTTTAGTTGCCTTTAGAGGTATGAGGTATCTCTAGTAGATAAGCATAATTGCCTGGTGGTATGATATAGGTTGCCTTGTTATTATTTTTCTCTGAAAAAAAAAAATCAATAAATTTGCACTTTCTGTCTGCTAAGAATTTCTTATACTTTAATTGATGGTTGTATAAATACTATGTCCCAAAGCTGGAATAATCCTGTTTATTACACTTAACTGATTTTCATTTTAATTAGTTTACCAGTAATTACTCATTACTCTGTTTTCAATTTAGTTTTATTACATTGGCAGATTAGTGTTAACCCTTCAAAGCATAGAACCCATTCATCAATGCTAATCTCTGTACAGCACAAACAGTATCATCCAGTGGGAAGTATGTGTTTACAGTTTATAGTTATCACTTATTTTTTATAGAGTTATGCATACAAAGCAGGAAAAATCCCTTTACTGTGGAAGTTAAGATAGATCTAAGGCACTTTGCAGCAATAGGCATAGTGTCTCTATTAGGAAATTAAAAATTTGTGTGAAGAGGTATATAATGAGGGAAGAAAACAAAGTAGAAGCATATCTGGTTAGAGTGAGGAGTGAATAGAAGAATGCTTATAGGTTTAATTCAGCTCCCCCTGCGAACAGTGGGAGGGTTACAGTGCACTTCACTGGGAGTTGGATCAGGTTCTTGAAGTAGAGGGAAAAAAATAAACGTCAATCAGCATAAATAAGTTCAGGCTAAATTGAATTGGGACTATTTAATTCACTAATTAGAAAAGAAGACATAACTTAGTCGCATTAGTAGCTTCAGTTTCTAGGAATGACAACAGAGAGGTCCTGATTCATCACAGGTGGAAAATACATGCTGATGCAAGCCAATGGCAGTCGGTTTCATTTAAAAATTTGTATGTTGGGCACTAGAAATGATAAAACAGCCTCTATTTGGGAAAGGTTTGCAGAGAAATGTGCAGGGACGGTCAGAAGAACAATGCAGATATTTTTGAGATGTGCAAATGAACTGAACCTCCAGTAATTCTCCTGGCACGTTCTTACAAGTGTGTCCTTTACCACAGGTGTTTCGTGGAAACGTGGACAACAACACCCCGTATGCTAACTCCTTCACCCCTCCAATTAAGTCGCAGTACATACGTCTGTATCCTCAGGTGTGCAGAAGACACTGCACGTTGAGAATGGAGCTTCTGGGCTGTGAACTGTCAGGTGGGTCTTCTGCAACCGCTGCATCTCAGAAGTCAACCATCAAAGAGCATGGTGTTGTGCCTAGGGTCTAGACCGCGTGCAATTTATTCCTGGTAAGACGCAGTTTCCAGGGCTGAGTTACTTATCTCTTTTTATATAAATGATATAGGCAGCCACACTTACCTAAATGATGTAAGTGACAATAGTTGGTTGCAGAAGGGCAGTAATAGTAGTAGGGTAATGTGGTGGCAGCCTAATAACGCTTTGTAAATGTTTCCGTGCACATTGGCCTCCGATTACATGTGACCTAGAAAAGGTCACTTATAGCAGTTTTAATAAGCATCAAGAGCTATCAGGACCCGTTATGTTACACGCTAAGCAGACTGCGAGACAGAGAGCCTCGTTACGCTCAGCACAGCCTAAACAGAGCCCTGGAAACAGTTTCTGAGAGCTGAAGTTGTTTGTGCCGTGCTGCACAGCAGAGTCACGCCAGGAGCCAGCATCGAATCCAATCTGAGTAATTTCTCCTAGCTGCTGGGTTTTCTCCTGGCTGATGTGCTGCATGGCATCCTCAGAGGGACTAGGGTGCTTCAGATGCCATCGAGGACCACTCAAAGTGCAGTAAGTTATATTTTGCTGAGCTGCTTCAGTCAAGATTTCAGTTTAGATTTCTCTTGTGGATTTCCAGCAGAAGCAGGGATTGAGTCTTGTAGCAAAAAGTAAATGAACAAGCGGAGCCAGTATAAACCCCTTTAAGGTATGTAGTAGCAGAAGTTATAGCTCATAAATGCAAAGCCTGACCTCTAGCCACTCTCTGCAAGAACCATGTTCCCTTGCAAATTCAGTAAAGCATGTAAATTTTTTATCTTCTTCAAGAGATCAACCTTTACTGGTGGGAGCGCTCCACTGAATTCATTTAAGAATGATTTTATGTGGCTGCCTGCTTACTGTACAAACAATAGTCATCCAGTTCACGAATGATACATCAAAACAGCTGGAGTTAAATAATTCTCAGTCCTCTAGTGGCATCAAAACCAGGTTCAGAAATGAAAAGTTAATGCATTAATCTTGCTGTAGCCCTTTTTCAATATAGATAGGTGTGAGAGTAAATAGAAAATTCTGTCTAGCTGCTTTAGTCTATTAGATTTTTTTTTTTTATGTCTTCCATTTCTGGAACCACAATTTAGAGTAAGTCCTTGCCAGAATGACCAGGAATTGTTTTGCTCAAAGAACTGTGAAAGCTACTGAAGTGAATTCATTTCAGTGGTCTCCTAACAGTTTCAAGGTCATAATTTCTAAGAACTGCAGGCAGCCAAGGCTCAGCAGAACAATTTCAGTCTTACTGAAAGTAGAGTATAATTATACAAAATGACAGACTAATTCTTTCTAATTCCAGGTGGTCTGTCTTAGGCAGAAAAGTACTTTGAGAGGTCTGGTTTCTCTAACAAATCCTGGTGCTAGAGAAGACAGTCGCTACTGAAGGAAGGGAGACTGTTGCAGCAACAGATCATCATAAAAAACAATCCTTTGCTAGAACGAACTTCAGCAAAATGTGCAATAAATAGCTTTACTTACCAAGCCCCATGGTCAGGCCTTATTGAAAACCATGATCAATGTTTGTGGAGATGGCCATCAATAAATCAGGCATTAATTTTCATAGCCTTGTGTTCCTGCCAGACTTGTGTTTTGCACATCTCTGTGTTGTAAATTCCTTTCCCTTCAGAGCCTATTGATTTGGGGAGAGAATCGGATCACAGATATTGTTTATTAGAATGCCTTTATTCATTAAGCTGTTATTAATAGTAGCATCAAGCTGTTGTTTTTAAAAACAGAAAACTGTTCTCACAACACAGTCACTTACTCATGCAGTTCTCTCACGTGCCCAAGCATCTGCGTATGGCAGGCTCTGCCTTCTTACTTGTGGTCCAAGTCATACTTTGTTGATGCTAGTGTGTGTTGGTGGCCTTGTACCAATTCAGTAAATTCATCTAATCTGGAAAGGAATTCTATGTTAATTAATAGGAAGAAAATCTTTCAAATCTCTTTAATTTTCAGAAAAGAAAAGCATCACACTATTAATAAAAAAAAAAAAAACACCTTTGCCCTCAAATAATAGATCTATGCTGTTTTTGCCAATACTCCATGAATCCTGGCCCAAGACAAGACACAAGTAGACCTTTGTATGCAGATCCATTTGTAGTTTTGCCTCCACAACATCACATAGTTAGTATTTCCTTTGGGGGTTTGAGTTTTCTTGAAAGAAGAGGTAGATGAGGGGCATGGTATAGGACACAGTCTGAAGAGTAAAATATTGTGCCCTCAGAAGAGACAACAGAATAACCTCTTCTTTCACTTTTCAGATGCTAATCTACACTTTCCCAAACTGTGGGTTCCTCATAATTTCACTGAGCTAGACTAAATAAGAAGTAGCTGCAAACTTATACTTAGATAGGTTTAAACGTACACAGTTATTGGATATCTTTTATCACAGGTGGTGAAATCCAAAGCATCTCCAACATTTTGATCTAAGGTGCTCCACTGAGCATAGCTGTGAGTATATCTACATGAGCTCTCACTAACTTTAACAGGTTGTAAAAATGGAAAGGGAGATCGAACCCTCTCACAGGGACTTTGCAAAGCAGATTTAAAGAAGAAACACTGCAGTGAAGAGATGTCCCAGGGAGTCTTGTTAGCATTGTTACAAATGCACTTCTATGAGGGGATGACTATGTATAGACACAAAGTTATGTACTAGTTTGATAATTTTGTCCTTTGTGCTCTAGGTTGTAGCTTGCCTATCAAAATAAACCATCATTACCCTCTGTCTTTGCAGCAGGATGTTGTAGGAGCTAGGAAGCCACTGGGTCTGCCCTTGCATTCTGTGACACAGCACTAAGACGTTGTTCTGCCACCCCTGGGCGTCATGTCCATCTCTTCTGGTTCTCATTGTTCTTCTCACTTTTTCCTGTTACCTTTAACAACTGTCTTCCTCCTCCCTTCGGGGCAGTGGAGAAGGAAGGCGAGTGTAAAATCCTATCAGTGCATGCACACATGCACAAACAGACGCACAAGCAGACACATCTGTTATTTCATAAATCAATAATAATACTCAGAAAAGATATAACTATTTCTGATGGATTGGACCAACACTGAAAAACAGTCTTGACAACCTATATTTTTGTGTCAGGAACCTCCTTCAGATTCCTCAGATGAAACTTTCCTGCTGACAGCCCTTGTGATCCTGGAGTGATACTTCAGAATTGAATAATAAGCGAAGTCCTTCTCTAAAGCAACAGATGAATCTCTTTCATTTGTGCTATCAATTGCTCCCTCCTACTCCCAGGAAGATTGCTTTGTTGTTGTTTTGAAGTATGTAGCTCAGTCTACAGATAAGGCTTTGCAATTTCCATTTGTGCACTGAGAATCAGTTCTGAAAGGTTGGGTTGTTTTTTTTTTTTCAAAAATTAACTCCATTTTCTATTTATTTTTTAAATGTATATGAAACCTGTCAGTATTTCAAATTTTAAATACAGTTGTTACTACACTGAAGAGCATATTATTATTATCTGTCTCCGGTAATACACATTTGCTCCTGCTGCTAGACCCCCTACGAAGGACCTGTTCTTACCTTCTTGATTTGAATTCCTTATAATTCCAGTTAATTCTGTGTTAAAGCTACAGGAGAAACAGAAAGTAGAATCCAACTGAAAGGTCTTTGCTAATAATATCAAAGAAACTGAAAAAAGAATCAGGTCTTTAAATCTGGGTAAACATACAGTGGAGGAAATGGACTTCTAAGATAAAAACAACCAGCTTTGATATCTAGCTCAAATAAAGTTAAAAACAAAATAAAGACTCTTAAGGTGTTTTAAGTGGTCATACAGTGCTCTGGCTCTATCAAGAGACACCAGCTGAGTAGAGTCATGGTCCCAGCAGGAGAGCCCTCACAGCCTACATGTGTGCTTTAAGAAACACAGCTGGTGACTCAGCAAATGATCCTTCCAGCCCAGTGATGTGGGATGTGAGTCTTGGGAAAACCTCTGTCTTCCTAGTGATACATAAAGCCAAGGTCCTGTGCATCTGCAGTGATGATGCACTCCTTGCAAAACCACATTTTTTAGCTCCTGGGCACACTCTCACTCAATGAGATAGAGTATGCCAAATTTTTTTTTTTTTATTTAACTGCGTCAAGTCAGCTACTGAACTAAGTAGGATTACCAAATTTGTGAAGTGAAAACTTTGGGACAACTGCACGTGTGCAGGTTTTTGACAACTCAGGGAGGAAGGAAATGAGAAAACTGTGTCTTTTTATGTTGCCATCTCCCTCTGTCACCTTTTCCTTAAACAACCCCCACCTCTCTACACTCCCTTTCAGCTAGTTGTAGAGAGCAATAAGGTTGAAGGGTTTCTTCCCTCATCTGGGTCCAAATGTACCTTCTATGTTCCCAGAGTACAATAGCAAGGCAGAGGAATGTAAAGTCACTTATTTATTTTTATTTTTATTCTTTTTTCATGGACACTCAGCAGAGAAAGAACAAGCCAAACATATATCTTTTGCTACAATCAAAATAATTCAATGATATGGGACATCCACCTGGTTTAAACAAATAGGCCATTAACTCTTCTCCTAAGCGATTATCACCAACAATTCTCCTTCCTTCACAGTTGTTTTCCTGTAGTCTTTCATTCTGTCAATTGGCGTTGGGGCTTTCTAAGTTTTTGGCTAGATGTCAAGCAATTAAAAAATGTGAAGAACCTCATTTCTTGTTAACATTTTACTTCAGCAGTGGTTTTAAGGAAAATAAATGTTTCCTCAGTAGGCAAACACATGGTTGATGTGACATGGCATAAAAACATGATCAAATTGAACTTAATAGGGGACACAATAACAATCTGATGGACAGGAAAATAAAATCAAGATAAAAAGAGATGAAAGTCAACCTTTCTGTTTGTTTGCCTTCACATATTTATGCCAGGATAATATATGTTGAATTCTCTATTTTGTTTCTGATTCTTCCTAGGTAGTGTTGAGATAAAGTGCCTTGAATTAGCTATTTTTCATTTGTTTGGTTGCAAGTTTCTTTAACAATAGCAGTGATTAAAGCCTTTTCTTTGAGAAGTGCTAGGTTTCTTTTCCATAGGAAAAGGTAAACCACTGACGGAGATAAGTAGGTGGTGCTCTTTTGCTGTTCCAGGTTGCTCTGAACCCCTGGGGATGAAATCTGGACATATACAGGACTACCAAATTACTGCCTCCAGTGTTTTCCGTACACTCAACATGGACATGTTCACTTGGGAGCCCAGGAAAGCCCGGCTGGACAAGCAAGGCAAAGTTAATGCCTGGACCTCGGGCCACAACGACCAGTCACAGTGGTTGCAGGTGAAGTTTCACATATGTTTTCCCAAATGTTTATCTTCTTTGTGTTTCAGGTATGGGAATGGTTGACTGGTTTAGGATTATATTCGTATTTTCCAGTTTCTGAGTGTAGCCACCCTAGCTCTGTCACCTGTAGATGATGAAGCTATGAAAGCCCACACAGATCGTCATGTCTTTGGTACCTCAGTTGCAGACCCTGCTCAGGGAAACCTTCATCTCCACTAGCCAAATCTTACAAGTTGTGCAGCAGCCATGAATTTTCCTTTTTTAAAGAACACGAATGGTAATTGCTGGTCTGTTTTGATAGTTTCTCCTCTTTTGTTAAGAGACATGATATTTTTTCCCCCCTTCTTTCTAAAGCTCCCTGAAAAAGCACATCTACTTCAGCTTCATCCACATTAGCAGGTGTGGCCCATAGAAATTATCTTTGTCTAATTGAGACTGTTCAAAATTACCTTCCAACATTGCTCTGAAGCTAGCAATACTGATTCAGTGCATGAATTCATTATAAAGCTGTGCACAGGGGTTGTTTTCAGCCTAGGAGTGATTTATACAAATCAGTAGTGTGCTAACGTGAAAGATTGCAATAAATCACTGGTATGGAAGACTATTTGACCAGTCACTGACACATTTACATTTTCTGAACTGTTGAAAACAGCAGTGTTTTGAGTCAGCTGCCAGTTGCAGTGCAGTTCTCAGTGGGAAGCCTCAATAGCACTAGACGTGGCTACTAACCAGCTGCAATCTTTTCATATATAAATTATGACATATTAGCTTTTTTACCTACAGTTGCTAAGCAATTTAGCAATACGATTACATCTTTTCTCCCAAGTTTACACATGTTCTGAAAGGAAGGAGCAGTTGCCTTGTCTATTTAGCTTTTGAATAACTGAAGGTCCTGGGATTTGCTGAAGATGTTTTAGAGCAGCTTTTTGAAATAGCAGTTAGTAACTTCTGGAGAGGAGGAAAATTTTATTGCTGTGTTTTATGGTGGAGAAGCAGATGAAAATTTTTCTTCGTGTAAAAGAAAGGCAGGTGTAGCACAGCCAGTTTTAGCCCCATCAGTGATATCATGAAACTAAGGGTGTGCAGATACTTTGCAGAAATATCCTGTGGTGTGCTGTTTCTCCTGTGGGTCACAGTGGATTTTTAGTTAACTACAGAAGCCAAGAGGCTGCAGAGTAAATTCTCATATTCTAAAACTTTCCATTCTATTCTAAGTTTTCTGTTTGAATCTACCTGAACAGCAAATTTAATCTGACAATTTGCAGACTCTCTGTAAGTCCTTGAAGTATCAGAGATACGTCTTTTAATCTGGTGAAAAGAAAGCTGTGAAGAAATTTTTGTCTTTTAGTTCATTTATCATATGGATATGGTGTGAGTTCTTACTGAATGTAGGAATGTGGGAATCTTCGCAGGAATGTAAGCAATTTACCCTTTCCTGGAAGTTATTATACTTAAAATATTTCTCCAAAAGATTATCATAATATTTCTTGTTTGAAAAAGAAACAAATAAAATCAAAAACCAGGAGGCATCAAATCCTTTTATTTTTTCAGTCTAAGTCGCTTGTTAACTTCAGTTGTAGGTTGATAATTTTGAGTTCAGTCTGTGAGTAGAGATGGACTCACATACTTCAAGTCTAAGTAACGATTCTGTAAGACAGACATGCCTGTCATTTAAATTTGTGTGTTCGTTGTTGACAGTTGTGTTTTTCCTTTAAAATACTGTATTGTATTACAACTTTTTAACACACTGACTGCAATTTAATCATCATGCTGCTTCCGTAGAACTTAGTCAAAACACATTTGGCAGAAAGACCATGTGGAAACAAACTTATCTGTATGCCTTTTTCCCTCAGCAATTGCCTATTACAAGGAATAATCCCTATAGTGATTCCATGGTACTCTAAAACAGGCTTAAAAACATAGATTTCTGGATTTCTCTAAAGTAGCTGGCCTACTAATATAATATTTCACTGTGTTCACTTTCCATGCCTTTTGAATTTTCTCCACATGCCTTATTTGTTGTATCTTTTGTAATTTTCACTAGAAAACCTATAAAATTGGGTAAAAGCATACTGAATCCCTTTAAAAATGATTCTTGTAGTGTGTCGTATGTGGATGACTTGAACAGGTCTGTTCTGACTTACAGCTATTTTGGAGGATCCTTACCCAAATGCCATTGCTATCAACTGTTCCTCTGCTTAAAAGCTTGTGTGCTGACATACATCTCAGAGCACCTGCTGTGATAATGGTTGCTGAGAGGTGATGTTTGCATCATGCATAAATGCTACTTGCTATTTATGGGCAGTTTACAGCACTTTTGAATGAACCCTAGTGATAAATTCTTCTCTGTCACAAGCTGGGGTTTGTTTACTTGTTTTTCTCTCAAATTGGAAAATTCTGAATCTTCTATGTGTTTGAAAAATGCAGCCATTAACGAGTACACTCATTGTTTCAACGTGTTCTGGATTGCTACAGCCATAATTGATCTCCAGAGGCAGGAATATGAAGTGGTATGTGGTTCCACACACAAACTGTACATTTTAGGGATCAAGAAGTATATTCACTTTATTGGTGTTGCAAAAAATCTGTTTGATCTAGACTCTTTTCACTCACGAACTCCAAGTTCCCCATGCAACACTCCTTTACACCAAGCACCTCTATTAGTAATGGAAGAGTCTTTTTGTGATGTGGGGGAAAAGTTAATGATAATAATGAAGTAAAAGATGACCAAAATCCTACTTTTGTGGCTCAGTCATAATCTGGGTCTGAATTCCCCAGCATGCTTGCTCAAGGGCACTCTTGCTGTGACTTTAAAGAAGATGCTGCAGATGCCATGTCAGTTACCTGGCCTAATTCATAGCACAAGAGTTTCCATTAATTCCTACCTCTTCAGTGCCTCTGTACTCATCACAGTTGAAATCCAATGTGAGCAATCAGTGCTAGCAACTCTCTCTACTTTAGTGATTCTCTTTCGGAGATACTTCTGTGAAATCATCTGAATAAAATTAAAGATTAAGGGGGAGGCGGGAAGTGAAATTAAGAAGAAAAAAAAATAAGTAACAGTTTGTTTCCCATAATTAGGTATAAATTTATTATAAACTAAGTGAGGTAAAGCAGTTCAGGTTAATTACTGAGAAAAGACAGAAAAGCCTAAACTTCACTTTCCTTTAAGGCATCCACTTTCCCTCATTATTTTGATTTACTTGTCAGCATCTTTTACTATCTTGAACCAGTTCACAGGCTTTCCCCATGATGTCTTCCTGAACTACCATGACCAGGCTGCTTTCCCAGCTTGGAGAGTGCTTCTGCTCCTCCAGGAGCATTCCAGCCAGTCACCCAACTTACCATTTCTTCAGTTATTTGACATTAAAGGAAATGTTAAAGTACTTCCCAGCTTATGCTCAGAATGAGGCACTGAACCTGTAAAGATTATTGAAAATTATTCCTACTGATCTTTCAGATACAGATTTTCAATGTTGTGTATCATTTTCCTACCCAATACTAGAAACCTAACCAAGACAATTCAAAGAAATTAATTTTTTCCTCAAAACCCATTCCCACTCTGCTAATAATTTTCTGCAGTTATAAATTATGAAATGAGGACAGTGGCTTAAGCTGCCTTTTCTCTGTTTACTGTTAATTAAGTTGTGGTGTTTTAAAATATTTCCTTATTTCTGCTACATTGAGAGGTGCCATATCTGTCATTGTATTGATTTCCCACTCTCTCTCACTGCCTAATAAGGACAGCAACACCTTGCAGTTTAATGCCTTCACCCGTTTGTCCTTTGCCTGGTGCTTCAGCAAATAATTTCTCTAGTGCTGTTTCTCTGATCTAGCATCCTCTGCAGCATTCCTCAACACTGAGGCATCCCTGATCATTTGGTGTCTCCAAATACCTGGAGCTTTCTTCTCTACACTCAACTGTCTCCTTTGCATAAATTGTTTTGTATGTTATCCAAGTTCTAACTTTATAATTTTACATGGATACTGGTAGCATTTTATCTTAAAACTGGTGGTGTGCTGGTGCTGGTTTTTTTTTTGAAAGTCTGTATCTCTACAGAGCACAGCTGGATGAAAAGGATGCCCATCTTGGAAGCCTGCTGAGGTTCCTTTTATATCTCCATATTATCCTCAGGTCACCAGCAACACTGCAGCAGCTTTATGTTTCTAGTTGCACTTGAGACTTTAAAACAGCTTACTCTCTGCAAAAATGACTTTCATCTGGTTGCTTAGCTTGTATTTTGCTGCAAAGCTAGTGGAAGGTTCTGCAGCTTGACGTGCATGAGTGGTAAACCTGACAGAGTTTATCCACAGTCCTTTTGTATAGTTACCATTGAGCTCAGAAGAGTTAAGAAAATCATCCCTCCCATAAGTAGCAGAGTGGCTGCAACAAGGAATGTATTATTCTAATGTTTATCTTGCTGATGCTATGTGATGGAATCATCTAAACACTACTAGGGGAAAAAAAACAGTTGCTGATAAAGATAGCAGATTGTTTGAAGATTGGCAAAGCAACTGTTACATATATACCTACACGATTCTCAAATGTGATGATTGCCAGGAGTATAATACATTTGGGTTGGTTATTTTTCTGCCAACCTAATCTCCAGTATTAGACAATATTGCTGAGATTTTTAATTAACGCTATTAGAAAACAATTGTCTCAGGGTTGCAATTGACTTATTCTTTCAGTCTAATACATTACCCTCTTTTTTACATCACAGTCTCTTGGTTGAAAAAAAAAGGCAGAATTGTATGCCAAATATTTATTCACTTTTGGTCACATATGCGCAAGACCATCTCTACCTACAAAGTGTCATGCCATCAAAGGATCTACGTATCTTCATTGTCTAGCATACATTTACAGTGTTTAAGCTTCTAAGGGATCAAAAGAAAGAGTTATTTAAAGGGTAAACCAGACCACACTTCTACTCAGTTTTTCTTACAGAGTAATCTTACAGAAAGGAGACTTTGTGCTACCTTTCTCTGGTATTTAC